AGTATATTGAATATTACGTTTATGTACAAAATTTTAACCTGTTTATATCCAAAACAACATAACCTATCTGAAACGCGTGTTTCATAAAATGTGTAACATAAAATGCTCAATAATAATTATAAATAACACAAAATGTCGCGATTGATTGTAAAAAATTTACCAAAAAATGTAAGTAATAAAAAATATAACGATATAATTGTAATTATAATGTGAATAAAAAATTTTAATACATAATAAAAATTCATAGATTACAGATATAAAATTAAAGGAACTTTTTAGTCAAAAAGGTTTAATAACTGACGTACAATTAAAATATACAAAAGATGGTAAATTCAGACGATTTGCTTTTATTGGATTTAAGACAGAAGAACAAGCTATAGCTGCCAAAGAATATTTTGATAAAACATGTATCGATACCTGCAGAATATCAGTTGAGCAATGTGCAAGTTTAGGTATTATAAATATAAATTTATATTATATTATGAATATTTATTTATAATGATAATTTTAATTTAATACATATTTATTGATATTGAATTTTAAAGGAGATTCTTCCAAACCTAGATCATGGAGTAAATATGCATCTGATAGTTCAAAAAATGTAATTAATAATAAACAATCTAGTGATAAATCAGAAAATGTAAATGTGAATAAAACAACAGATAAGAAAAAGGAGAGAAACAAAAAAGATAAAAAAGAAGAAATTGTAAAACCTGAAGTCAAAGAAGCATTAGAGAAGGTATAATTATAACTTACTTTTCTATACCAGTTGTTAAATGTTATGTGTAATTTCGTGTATTGATTTATATTTAGCATAAAAATGATCCTTTATTTATGGAATTTCTTGAAAGTCATACAAATAAGACCATATGGAATAATGATACAATATTGACAACTATTGAACCTAAAGAATATAATGATAATGAAATTAATGGCATTGAAGATGATATTAAAGATATTAAACAAGAAGAAAAAGATGAAGAAGAAGAAGAAGGAGAAGAAGAAGAAGAAAGAAAAGAAAAAGAACAAAAAATTGCACATAAAGTTGTATCTGATTTAGAGGTAAATTTAAATATATGTATTTCTTTGTTATTTATTAATTTGTTTTGTATATATATAATTATTTTTTATATAGTAATAATATTTATTTTTTTAAATAGTATATGGAAACTTTAAAAAATAAAGAAAAGAATATAGAAAAGAAAGTTTCAAATGATAATCCATCTAAACATGGGCCACTAAAATTATTTACTGTAAAACTTCGAGGATTAGCGTATAATCATAAGAAAAAAGATATCAAACAATTTTTTAGTCCATTAAAAGCAAAATCGATACGAATATCGCCAAAAATTAAGGGTATTGCTTATGTTGGTTTCAAAACTCCACAACATTTGAGAAAAGCGTTATTGAAAAACAAAAGTTTTTTAGGTATCTTATAGTTTACTCTTATTAAGAGTTTTTTTTATTTTTTTTTATAAATTTTGGTCTATATTTTAATATATATATTTTTAGATGGAAGACAAATATTTGTAATAAAATATGAAGTGAAGGAACAAAAATTTGAAGAACAAAATGAAAATAACGATAACATTAAATGGAAAAAGCAAGCAGAAGCATTGAAAAGTGAAGAAAGCATAGCAGAATCTGGAAGAATGTTTATTCGAAATCTATCTTATACTACAACCGAAGATGATATTCGAAAATTATTTGAAAAATATGGTAAATAATTTTTTTTCTTATCCAATATGATACGTATGATATTAATATATAATTTTTTTTTTATTTAGGTCCTTTAACTGAAGTTAATTTACCCATCGATCGAATAACCAGAAAATTAAAAGGATTTGGTACAATAACATTCTTAATGACCGAACATGCGGTAAAAGCTTACAGCGAATTAGACGGATCGATTTTAGACGGAAGGATGTTACATCTTCTTCCAGCCAAAATGAAAATTGATTCACTAGAAGAACTCGACGAAAGTAAAAATATATCGTACATGAATTTATAATTTTTTATAATAATTCTAATATTGATATTATATAATTTTATAATTTTTATATTATTTACTTATAGAAGAATTAACTTATAAACAGAAGAAAGAATTGAAAGCTAAAACAGCTGCAGGATCATCACATAACTGGAACACTCTTTTTCTTGGTCAAAATGCTATAGCTGATGCTATAGCTACCACTTATAATACAACAAAGGAAAACGTACTCGAAGATGGATCAAAAGGCTTGAGTGCTGCAGTTAAATTAGCATTAGGAGAAACACAATTGGTTCAGGATACCAAAAACTTTTTGGAGGAAAATGGAGTTTGTTTGGATGCATTTAATCAAGTAAATATTATGTGAAATATAAATATTAATGATTATATAAATGAAATGATTTAATTAATGCATTTTTTCCAGCCATCAAATGAACGATCAAAAACAATAATATTGGTGAAGAATTTACCTGCTGCAACACCAGCACAAGAGATTCGACAATTATTTGCACGACATGGCGAATTGGGTAGAGTTGTGATGCCACCTTCAGGAATTACTGGTATAAATTTTAATAATATTATTATCATTATATGTGTCTTTTAATAATATTACATCGCATTAACTTATTGCATTTAGCTTTGGTGGAATTTTTGGAACCCTCTGAAGCGCGAAAAGCATTCACAAAATTAGCCTATACTAAATATAAACATCTACCATTATATCTGGAATGGGCTCCTGACAATAGTTTTACTACTCCTCCTGCGGTAAAAAACAAAACTATTAACGAAACAAACGAAAAAACAAAAGTTGGAGAACAAGAAAAAAAATTATCAGAAAATGTAAATGTAAATAAGGTTAATAAAGAAGAAAGCGAAGATGAAGACGAACCTGAACCAGACACCACTCTTTTCGTGAAAAATATTAATTTCTCCACTACGGATGAACAATTAAAAACGGTAAATAATTTATCAAACATTGCTTGCTATTATTTAATATGTAACATTTTTTTTTTTTTTTATAGTATTTCGACAAATGTGGTCCTCTTCATTATGCCTCGATAGCAACGAAGAAAGATCCAAAAAATCCTGGTGCCAAGTTGTCAATGGGTTATGGATTTGTAAGATATAAAAGAAAAGCAGACGCTGATCGTGCACTAAAAGTTTTACAAATGACAGTGTTGGATGGAAAAACTTTAGAACTCAAACGTTCTGAGCGAACATTAACGTATGCTTTCGTTTCAATTTCAGTTTCCTTGACGTTTACAATTTTCAGTAAACATTTCTATTCATCTGAATGTGCAGAACTGACGTAAAAAGTGCAAAAAAGACATCTACGGTAAAACCTCAAACGGGTACAAAAATTTTGATAAGAAACGTGCCGTTCCAAGCAACAGCTGAGGAAATAACCGAATTATTCAAGTACGTATTTCAAATATTTATTATTATATTATTTTATATAATATTTTAAATTAAATTAAATTATAATATTTTATTACAATATTTTAAAAAGGAAAAGTAAATTTTTTTCAAATTCACAAATTTCTCTGCTTTTTTTCTTTTTCTCACTGAAATACCAGAGCGTTCGGAGAGTTGAAAGCAGTACGGTTACCTAAAAAATTAGTTGGTGTCGAAAAACACAGGGGATTCGCCTTTGTAGAATATTACACAAAAAGCGAAGCAAAGGTATACGAAAAATTAAAATAAATTCTTTAAATAATCTCGAATAGATCAATATATATATATATAATCTTTTTCTACTATATTCATAGAAAGCATTTAAAGCTTTGTGTCAAAGTACTCATTTGTACGGTCGAAGATTGGTCTTGGAATGGGCTCAGAGCGAAGAGGGTGTGGAAGATATTAGAAAACGGACAGCCAAACACTTTTATCAAGGTATGTTATTTATTATAATCCCTCTTTTGTAATTAATTATCTATTAATAAACCGAATTAATATTTTGTTGATAGATCAATCGGTAAAGAAGAGTAAAAAGGCCACGTTTAATCTAGAGGATATAGCTTTGGAAGATGGAAATAAATTATAAAATTTTATACATAGTACGATCACGGAAACGATACAATTAAATTCATAGCTCACACGTGACTTGGAAAGTGTATTTTCTTTCAATATAACTGGCAGCAAATCAAATCGATCGAAAGTTAAAAAGTTCTTTTCGACTCGTGATGGAGTGCACGCCTATTGATGTTCGCCTCACGTCGAAACTTTTTCCCGTCTTACTTTTCTCGAAAATGGTTTAAATTTCTACCAGTAGTATGTCAGACACGTGCTAATTCTATGTATTTGGGTTTAACGCTATTCAATATCGAATAATTCAACAATAAATATCGTGGCATAATTAACATTATAATATCTTCGATCCACGTTTCAAGCCGATTTAATTATACAGTTTTCAAAGTCGCACGCGCTTGATTTTAAAAAATTAGATAAAATTTTGACACTCGTTTTAAATTTTAATTCTTTTTAAAAGTAACAAAAATTTACTCTTTCGAACCAGTAAAAACATTTATATATACATATATACAATAAAAAGCGAAATAGATTTTATCCAATTTAACAAAATTGAAAAAAAAAAAAAACGATAAAGTGTGCCTTCAAAAAATTTACATAAATTCTTAAATTTAAAAATCAACAGGAGAAGTTTTTAATGAAATCGGTATTATTAAAAAAAAAAAAAAAAAAGCGAACTCGAAG